GCCCTCGCCTCCCGATCGGATTCCCGGGACGAGAAACTGGCCCTGTACCTGGCAGAGGTGGAGAGGCAGGACAAGTACCTGCGGCAGAGGAATAAGTACCGGTTCCACATCATCCCCGACGGCAACTGCCTCTACCGAGCGGTCAGCAAGACCATGTACGGGCACCAGAGCCTGCACCCGGAGTTGCGGGAGCAGACGGTGCACTACATCGCCGACCACCTGGACCACTTCAGCCCCCTGATCGAGGGCGACGTGGGCGAGTTCATCATCGCGGCCGCGCAGGACGGGGCCTGGGCCGGGTACCCAGAGCTGCTGGCCATGGGGCAGATGCTGAATGTGAACATCCACTTAACGACTGGCGGGAGGTTGGAGAGCCCCACCGTGTCCACGATGATTCACTACCTGGGCCCGGAGGATGCCCGACGGCCTAGCATTTGGCTCAGTTGGCTCAGTAATGGACATTACGATGCCGTGTTTGATCACTCCTATCCGAACCCGGAGTATGACAGCTGGTGCAGACAGACTCAAGTGCAAAGGAAACGCGACGAAGAACTTGCCAAATCCATGGCCATCTCCCTCTCCAAAATGTATATTGAACAAAATGCATGCTCTTGAAGTGTCTGAAAACCTCCACCCTGGGAAAGTGCATTTACATAATTTGTGTTTGGAGAATTATACGAACTCTCATCAGGGTAATAGCACTTTTAAAATTAATAGTAGATGACTGTAGGTGTAATGCCTTAAGCTTTTTTTTTTTTTTTAAATTTTGAATGTTTTCTCAGAGCTGAAGGTTGCTGGGCACCGAAACGATGTTTCATGATAGCTTTGTATGATCCTACTGCTATTTATAATTTGCTGTATAAAGTCAGCACTACTTAATTTGCAAGCTAATTTCTCACAGTGTATATATTTGTTCATTCCTGGTAAAATATTTTCTATAAAAAGGTATTTTTGCACAATATTTTAAAAAATTGGTGTAACTTCATCTATGATGTTTTGACAGCTTTCCGGCATAAACCCAGAAAAGTGCTTTATAGGAAGCTTATTTGAATCAAGTTTGTGATTTAGTAGTTGTTTTATGTTGATGAATTTGAATTTTACAATTCTTAGATACTTTTTCAAATGGAGATTGATACATTCATGTTATCAGATAATTGGCCCATTCCATTTTGATGAAACATTTGTTTTTGAAATCATTATTTTTCTAGAAATGGTCAACCTTTTAAAGAGAAATAATATGTAAGGGGAGATTGTGGGAAGATTTTTTTTTTCTTTGAGAGATAGTGCCAGCTCTTAACTTGAATGAAAATCTGATATTTGCTGATGGCAGAGTGGTTAATTATTCTGGTTAATGTTTAGAGTAGATTGGTGCTCTCATTCGTTTTTATTTATATTTGTCATTTTGTTGTAAAAGAATTTTAACATGGTGTAAAACTTTGTGATAAAGCCTCCTGCTTTATATAGCTTCTTGGATTCAACTGAGATTTGAAAACGAATAGGATGGATGCCTCGAACCAACCTTTGCAGTTATTTTATAGCAGGAGACTATTGTCTTACTATTCTAAATATTAAGTCCTTTTAAATTCTTGCAAAAGGAAAAATAGGATTGCCCTGTATTATGTACAAATAAAAATGTCTGTAAACAGAGCTTGTACGGTTTGCTGGGTCAAACAATGTTCCCAACCTAAAATCTATCTCATTTCCACTTAACTACTGTTAGTCATATTTATTAAGTAACGCAGTTTGTACTTTTTTATTTTGTAACATTTTGTGATTTTTTTGTACAATACTGTATTTGTATAATAGAGCAATTCTCAGCTGGGTGGAATGAATAAAATGCATAGTTTTACTTACATGTTTGGCTAAAGTGGTTTTTATATAAAGTGATATCTGTAGGAAACTTTTTTATATCTACAGTTTTTTTCATGTGTGCTAGTAAAGATGGCACAGATATGAGAGGTTTTCTTAAGTTCTCACGTGAACAGGATAGGATAATCAATAATTTCAAAGAATAAGTCTAACATAACAAAGGTACAGTAACAAAAAAAATTGCTCTCATTATTTCTAATTATAATTCCTGTCTAAAACTTTAGGTGTACCTATTGAGTAATGAACAGGGAAGTGCAAGTATTGTTAACCAGCACAATGTTTAATTATGGTTTTATGTTCCATTCACTCGTAGCATAGGTTTTAATGCGTAGCTTCAGCAGTGCCCTAATCTGTTTAGTCTGGGCTTTTGAGACCATGGGAATCTACAAATTTTAATATACGTTACCAGATTTAGTTGAGAAGTGCACCTGTATACATAATCCTGGGTATGTGATTGCAGAATAAAAACAGCTTGTGATGTTTTTACTTTTCAGTTGATTGTTTAGGTGTCATGGTTACAGACACAATTGAATAGAGTTTGAGTTCATTGCTTAACCACATTTTTGGAATGATGCCATTGATCATCAAGGAAAGATAAGTTGTCAAAGGTTTAAATGTTAACTATTCATGCATTTTTGTTTTTTTTTAGGGAAGATAAAGTTTACTTCATGGCTTCCCTAATTATGTAACTTGATAAGAAAAATTATTTTATATGAATCACCTGGCTAATTATGGTTCTTAAGTTTTTCTCCACTTTATTTAGAGCTGTATAAAATTTGGGAATACTTAAAATATACCCACAAAGAGCCAGAGAATAATTAGGTATAATTTCCTAAAGAGCATTAATATTTTAAATAGGTTCTTTTGTGTTCTTTTTCATTTTAAAATTAGGATCCTAAGTCCTTGATTTAAATTCTCAAGGTGATGTTTTTAAATAAAATGAAATGGGTCCTAAGATTGTACTGTATGGCAGCATGTTATTTTAGTTGTCTTTCCTAAATGGTCTTTCCCATCCTTTTTCTATGGCGTAGTTTTTTTGAAGAAGAAAGGTAGTATGGGCCTGGCCTGGCCGGTGTGGCCCCGTGGTTCACGGAGGTGGTGGTTTGATTCCAAGTAGGGGCTCAGTTCCTGGTGGGGCAGGGAGGAGGGCATGCTGGAAGCAGCTGATCCATGATTCTCTCTCATCATTGATGTTTTTGTCTCTCCATCTCTTCCTCTCCGAAATCAAAAATAAATTTTAAAAAAGCAATGTATGCTTTATTCCCTTATACTTAATATTTATTCTCTACTGCTATACTGGTTTTACATGTTTAGCAGTAGCAGTCTTGGATCCCTGAAGACTTGAGCAGTCAAAGAAGTAGAAATATGAGCTATACTTTTAGCACACAGATTTATTCCTTCATTTACTCTGTTTGCTAAAAGTAAATAGCTCCCATTTAAAAACTAAATTAGCATAGTACTTCCAACATTTTGGCAAAAACCTAATTTCTTGAATCTTGTTCATTTTCTGCTCAAATTTTTTTTCTAAGGTAAAATTACTCATTTTAGTCATATTTAATTGAGCAATAAACCACTAATTGATAAGTGGACATATACATGTGATACTTTATATTTTATGTACTTATAATTCATATGCTTGGTCTAGGCACAAAAAACCTATCAGAAGCCACATTTTATAGAGGAGAGGAAATGCCTTAAGATCCCTTGAACATCAGAATTAGCCTCGACTTGGGTAAATATTTTTGTTGCAATGTTTTCTTCATAACTTTTGTACTGGAAGAAAGAAAACATCCTGAAATCCTGAGGAAACAGAAGAAAGCTAGGCAGACAGGGACAGGGACCATGGCGGGGAGGGGAACGAAGTAAAACCAGGAACCCAACTAGGTGGAGTTACTAAGATACCCCAAGTGGGTGAGGATGGAAGGGCACACCTGGGAGACATGAGCTTTAAAAGGTATGAATGTTGCTAACACAGGCAGCTTGCAGATAACCAGTCACAGATAGTAAGGCGTATAAACTAATCCCAAGGATGTTGATAATATGAAATTCTTTGAAAGGACCAATGAGGAACTAATAAGCATATAGCAAAGCATATAACAAAGCTTGGGCGCTTCTCTCTCCCAGAGTGCTAGATTCTTGGGTTAATGGCAGGAGATACTCTCCGCCTTGCTCATGTGGCTTATGGCGATGTGGGCCTCCACACATGGACTAATAGACTTTCATTAGTTTGAATGCTGAACTCCCAGCTGCAAGATGGGAAGGAAGCTCTGGACACTGGCCTGTTTCTGGAACCTCAGATGCCCCTTTTCCAGGACTGGCTTCTCTCAGTACACTTTGGTTCTGCTAACAGTTTTTGTCCACAACGTCCTTCTTTGATTTCACAAGACAACGAACTGGGACTCAATACCCCACATTTCAGTTTCAATCCCACTACTTTAGTAATTTTATTTTATATAGTTTTCCTAAAAAATGAGAAAAGTAAACTCTAAAATTCTATCATGGTTTTCATATGGAGAAAAGCATTAGAGAAGAAAAATTTTAAATCTTTGGACATGATAATTTGATAGGTTGAGTAAATTCAAGAGTAAATGTACTTCAAATGTGTAATGTTCGCACTTAATAGGCAGTTATTTGTCATAAAATTTTTTGGACATCTCTAGTATGTCTATAACTATCTCAGTGGCTTCATTAATCTATTATTTGGTGGGAACAGTATACTTGGGAATATCTCTATATATAAAAGGCTAATATGCTAACTGTTCCTCTGACCATCTGACCGGTCGCTATGATGTGCACTGACCACCAGGGGCCAGAAGCTCAATGCGGGAGCTGCCGCGATGCACACTGGCCATTTACAAAGAAACGGCACCACAGACCTGGCACCCACAAAGCAACACTCGGCTTCCCCAAGTGGGACATAGGCCCCACCACCACCCTGGAGCGACACCCCACCAAATCACAGCCAATGCTGCCAAGAACCCATAGCACAAATGCAGCCCACAGTCCAGCCCAGCCCAGAAATTGACCACCAGGCCAGAAGCTCAATGCGGGAGCTGCCGCGATGCACACTGGCCATTTACAAAGAAACGGCACCACAGACCTGGCACCCACAAAGCAACACTCGGCTTCCCCAAGTGGGACATAGGCCCCACCACCACCCTGTGG